CACAAGCCAGGATTTTTAGAGTAAGACCACATGCCTTGCCTCAACACTGTCACTGTAAGACACAGGTACACACATGCTCTCTCAGTTGTTATCTGATTACATTTTAGATTAGACAATTATTTGCAAGAATTCTGTGCAGTCTGGAAACCTTAAGAGTCGGTGTGGGCGTACGTTATGAAGATGTAATTCCCGCCAGGATGACCTCATGTGCTTTGTTCTGCTCTGAGGGAAAAATGTTTGTGTAGTATGAGCGTAAACATGTGAAATGTATTTGCAGCCTGAAGGAGTTCCTACCAAAAGAATACATCAAACAGAGGGGGGCGGAGAAGAGAATTTTTCAGGTACATGACCCTCTGTGGGCTTTACTCAATCTGTTATTCTAGGAAAACATGCTATAAGGCACTGTCCATGACTAACATACAAAAAACAGCCTGAAATCATTAAAAATTAAGGCTTTTTACATTTTTCAACAAATGGTCAGTAAAAGGAATGGCTTAACCTATGAGTAAATGTGGATTGCAGTAGGTCAAGCTAAATATTAGATGAGCAGTTTTATTTTCTGTTTGGATTTTTTTTTATCCTATTATTAAAATTTGGAACATGTCTAAGTACAACCTAAATGCCGTTTTATACTCTGATTTGTGTTTCCCCCCCCTAATTTTAAACATCAAGTTAATATCAAAATTAGATTTTATACAAAAAAAAAATTGAAATAAAATCATAAATCTGAGTAACAGGGTTGAAAATGTATATTAAATTAAGGGCTAGCTTGTCTGGAATCCAAGCTTGGATTGTAATTTTTGATAAATTTCCTATCAATTAAAAAAAATAAAAGACATTTGTTTGATTTGTTTCTTTTTTTCTTACAATAACTTTGGTAACAGGGTTGAATGGTTGAAATCACAGTAAACACAACAACGGTTGTAAACACTGGGAAAATGGAATAAAGGATTTATTTACTGGTCTTCCCACCCTGCTGTAGAAAGGAAAAAATCATCTGTTATAATGTAAAATATGGGATACAGCTAAATATTTAGCTTTTGGCTAAAAAAAAAAAACATTCAAACATTTGATGCATTTAAAACTTGCTACTTTCTATGCTAGATTTTAACACATATTGGTTTTAACAATTTATTCAGCTTACTGTTTTCTGGATCTATTTATTTTGCTTAGAAGGCCCACCTAGGCAAAACATTCACTTATAATGATGAAAACAGACGTTTATGTATAGCTTTCCATTGTGAATTAAAACCTGAACGCAAAGAGACACAGCTGACTTGAAACAAAAGGTTGTTGGTTCAAATCCCACAAAGGCAGAGAAGTGTTCATATCTTAATCTCCTCGCCAGGATCACAAAACCTGTGGCGAGATGATGGAGATCGAGGCAAAAGTGAAGTATGTGAAGCTTGCCAGGTCCCTACGCACATACGGAGTGTCGTTTTTCCTGGTGAAGGTGAGTATTTTACAGTTCAAACTCTAAATTCTGAAGTTTTACAAATGGTCACAAACGGTTGTGCATGTAGCCAGCTAATATCACACAACAGAAAAATATTAGGAATTATTGCCCTTGTATTATCTTGTGCCGACCAATCTTTTTTCTCTTATCACCTTCAATTCAGACTGCAAGCTCACCAACGAGTACAGAAACTCGATTGCACCGTACAGTAAACCAGCAAACGAGTGTTTGGAAAGACTGTTAAATATTTCATACTATCAGCAGTATCAGAAAATACAGGCACCGACCGATTCAAAATAATGTGCAAAAGACTGTCTATGGGTGTTTCTTCAACTACAAGCACTTTATTTCTTAAGGATTTATATTTTTAAAACTAACAATTGAAACTTATTTTTATTAATTTTTTTGATGAAAGTCGCAATAAATCTGTAAAATTGTATTGAAAATTTTAATCATGTTTTCATTATTTATTTTTGCATAGATTTAATTGTATTCTAGAACAAGACTTTTAATATAAAAATGATTATTATTATAAATTTTTAGGGATGCACCGAATGTTCGGCAACCGAAATTATTTGGCCGAAAATAGCAAAAAAAACTCTTTCGGCCGAATAAGCGAAAAGACCGAATAAATTGTACCGAACAATGACGTGACGCGATCAAATAGAGGCACGCGCTAATGCAGCAAACATGACGGCAGTGTGGCAGCATTTAAAGCTGTCCGAGAAAGAGGCAAAAATCATTACAAGCACCGACAGCGAGAGACTGTTTAGTACTGCATCGCATGTCTTCGATGAGAAGAGGAAGGGTGGTTGTTGCTGGTTACTGTATGATGATTAAAATTGCGAAATGCCCTTAAACAATTAAATAAACTGCAGAATGTTATGTTTTCTAATACACGCAGGAATTGCATGTATTCAAACGGTGCTGCACGAGCTCGCGGCGGTAGGGTTCAAAGTCCAAAGCACGAGGAAAGTTACTCGTCAGCTGCTCAGTAACATTTTTACGAATTTTTATAAGGCATGTGACAATACAATACGTACAACAAACTCGTAATGAGAATCATTTGTCAACAAAAAGAAGCACTGAGGTCTTCCTGTGGGTTTCTGCCAAAATAAAAGCTGAGAAAAAGCAAGAACTCCGTCAACATTAATAAATGTTATTATTGTAAGTTTACTGTTGTTCTGTAAAATAAAATAAAAAAATAAAATAATTATGAAAATAATTATTACAACAGCTCTATTAAAACATTTATTGTAACATTTACACATAGTGTTCAGACTAGGATCTATAATATTTTCTAATGTATTAAAATAAGTCTCTTCTACTCAGCAAGGCTGCATTTATTTGTAAGGCAAAAATACATGCCTGATTCAAGAAGGGGGTCTAAACATGGCCAAAAAATTTTATTTTACTAACTTATTAATTTTAAGTTAAGTTGTGTTTAATGTCTGCTAGAATGTTAAAAAATGTTCAGTGTTAAGTAAATATTTTTAAATTGTTGTTTTGTAAATTATTTTTTTCTTTGAAAAGCACGACGAAACAGTAAAAAGCACATTTTGGCTATTTAATTTATGCAATGGTGAAAAAATTGGCAAAATGGGGGGAAAATGTGAAAAACCGTGCTCGGGATTCGGACTTCGGCCCATTGTTTCATTTTGTTCGGCTTCGGCCAAGAATTTTCATTTCGGTGCATCCCTACTATTAAGCATTTCTAAGCGGTACAGCACACAGAGGAAGATTTACAAGCTGTCCGCTCAAGGATCAGTTTCAGGTCATTAGTGGAGTGTTGCTAAGTGCCCGGTTTCAAATTAATAGTGCCTAACAATAGATTGCACCACTCTGAATGAGCAAAAGCACCGTCCCTGACCGACTCGGACAATTAGACAATGACCATTTACCAAAAAAATGAATCCTATATTTACCCACATTGCATAAACCTCAGCCTTGAAAAGCTATGCCATTCAGGACGCTAAACAATATCTGCAGGTCTTTATTTATAATAAAGACATTATTTATAATGAACTCTTATCAGAGGTTGTTATTTTCGACCCTCAGTTGAAAACAATAGCCTGGAGATGTACGGCGCAAGAGGTCACTTAAACATTTAGCTTTTGTTTTTATTATGTATTTGCGTGGTGGTAAGAGTCCTCTGGCAGGATGCCATCAGTGGGCAATTGTTTTGGGTCGTGTGTGTGTGTGTGTGTGTGAGATGAAGGGAAATGGCAGAAGGCACCAGGCTGTGGTCGAGTAACACATATACTGTAGTCTGTGTTAGACACTGCTGCCCATGTAGCAGCTGCACTGCCTGATTAGCGCAGTTACCGTGTGTGTGTGTGTGTGTGTGTGTGTGTGTGTGTGTGAGTGAGATGAAGGGAAATGGCAGAAGGCACCAGGCTGTGGTCGAGTAACACATATACTGTAGTCTGTGTTAGACACTGCTGCCCATGTAGCAGCTGCATTGCCTGATTAGCGCAGTTACCGTTGAGATGAAATGTCAGTATGCAAGATTAGGATTGAAGAGCTTTAGATCATAGAACATTGAATTAGAATGTCAAAATTGGCTGGATGGTGTGCTGTGTGGTGAATATGCATTTGCACATGCTTTGGGAGCTAATGTTACCCATAATCCTATGTGGGCCGCAAGGAGGTTGATTTCTGATGCTTTTATTCAGTATCAAGATGCAACTGTATGATTTCATGAAACAGATTTTACTTATAGGTCGTGTGTCCACCAAAGTGTTTTTAGCGAGCTGAAAACACCAGACGCTCTGCTAAAAAAACCCTAGCTGTGTGAGCACTTGAGAACGCTTCTGCGGCGCAGCATTTTCAGTTGAGACGCTGTGGTTGCTATGATAGGGAATATCCGCTAAAGTAATATGGCAGAGGCATCGCGAATGAAATGTTTCACCCAGCATTATTTTTCATAGCAATATTGTGGTAGTGTGGGAACTATATCTGGTGAAGACATGAATACTCTGAGACAAGCAATATCAGCTTCTCCATTATTGTTCAGTCGTAGTACAAGCAGGGTGTGCCGGTTGGTCGGTATTAGTCCCGCCCCTCCTCCACTGTGATTAGTTAGCTGACTAAAAAGTGACAGTCATGAGGGCTGCGTTTTATCCAAAGTTGAACATTCTTCAACTCTCGGCGCAGAGAAAAGAAAAAAAAAGAATGAAGAATCTGGAAACCCGTCTTATCTGAGTTCGAGAAACTTATGAGTCAATTCACATACATTCAGAATCATAAATGTCACTAAAACATCTGTTAAATGCTGTTCTAACGTATAAACAACGTCAAATATGCATTGAAATATGTGCGCTACCAGAGAGAATGTTCCAGTAACTGCGTACTGACTTAATGTCATCCATTTTCAGTTGAGACGCTGAGGATGCTATGATAGGGAATATCCGCTAAAGTAATATGGCAGAGGCATCGCGAATGAAATGTTTCAACCAGCATTATTTTTCATAGCAATATTGTGGTAGTGTGGGAACTATATCTGGTGAAGACATGAATACTCTGAGACAAGCAATATCAGCTTCTCCATTATTGCTCAGTCGTAGTACAAGCAGGGTGTGCCGGTTGGTCGGTATTAGTCCCGCCCCTCCTCCACTGTGATTAGTTAGCTGACTAAAAAGTGACAGTCATGAGGGCTGCGTTTTATCCAAAGTTGAACATTCTTCAACTCTCGGCGCAGAGAAAAAAAAAAAGAATGAAGAATCTGGAAACCCGTCTTATCTGAGTTCGAGAAACTTATGAGTCAATTCACATACATTCAGAATCATAAATGTCACTAAAACATCTGTTAAATGCTGTTCTAACGTATAAACAACGTCAAATATGCATTGAAATATGTGCGCTACCAGAGAGAATGTTCCAGTAACTGCGTACTGACTTAATGTCATCTTTAAAAACCCAGTGAGATCATTTGACAAGCAGCGTTTTCGTTCCTGTGTTGACGTATTTCCTGTTGAAACAGGAAGTTTGAGGAGGGATATCGAAGGTCTCCATTTGTTTTTTTAATGAATAATATGTTTTAGTTATGTCACAACCGTGAACATGATTTGCTTCATGCTAATTGTGGAATCATGAGAGAGGACATTCTAATTATTAAGAGCATTTGATTGGTTGAAAATCGCTGTAGTGCAGGATGAGTCATTCAGTACTTTTCATCTGTTTTCCTTGAACAGAAAAAGTAAAAAAAAAAAATTTAATTTCTCTTTTTAATACTCTGAAACACTCGATTAAGACTGGTCAGTTGTGTCAACTGTGGTCAAACATGAATTATAATTTTTTGTAATTATTTGATTTAATATTTATATAAATGTAATGCATAATAATATTATACATATATTTATTTAGATATATTGGTTTTACTTGCATATCTGTTATTACATTTAGATTTATAAACATTTAGTTATTAATATATAATGCATATTATAATGTTAAAATACATATTATATTATACGCATCTGTTTATAATATAATACATCATTTTGTACTGTATTATGTTTAATATACAGTATATTTATTATACTAATGTTATATCATTATGCCAAATAATTATATTTATATTTTATTATTAATAATAATTTGTCAACAAATGAGCAAGGATTGTCAACAATTGATGCCTTAATCAATTATGTACATAGTAGTGACCAAACAGTCCGTTATTCTGCAGACATTGTGGTAAGGAGTCGAAGAGAGAGAGTTGAAATGAGGACAATGAACTGCATACAGGGCAATACTCTTTCAACATGATTAATGAGCTAAACAAATTTAGTAATCACATAAATACAGAAATGAATTCAGCAGTCAGCAGCCCATTGTATATTTCAGTCCTCACCACACAATACACAAACGCCATGTGTTATTTCTCAACAGGAGAAGATGAAAAGCAAGAATAAGTTGGTCCCGCGTTTACTGGGCATTACCAAAGAGTCAGTGATGAGGGTGGAAGAGAAGACCAAAGAGGTGGTGCAGGAGTGGCCCCTCACCACAGTCAAGAGGTGGGCGGCCTCACCCAAGAGCTTTACACTGGTACGTTACATTATTCACTCCATTCAACATGAGCCACAGTGTGTTTGGATTCTTCCATAGATTCTGCATTCACTTTATCTGCTCAATATGTTTGTATAGTTCTGTATACAGTCAATAAAAGCATAAAAGTATTGGGTTTGGACACTTAAAATTGTTGGAAGGTCATTATCATGGTAGCTGCCTTCAAACAAATGATGTTTGTGTGACAAATACTTTTTTGGACCCATTGTATGTTGTTTTTTACTTTATATTTCAATCTTAATAAATATGAAATTACAATAAAATATAATGCCTAATAAAATTATAAATGTATCTATTTTTGTAATATTTCTATTTATATATTGTTATTTTATGCTTTATATTTAGATCTTAAAAACAAAATTTTTATATGTAATGTTTATTATAATATAATATAACATAATATAATAAATAATGATATTGTACATGCGTCTATTTAAATATAATGATTCTATTTGTCATTTTATACCCTGTATTTAAAATGTAAACTACATTTATAATATAATATGATACATAAAATTATAGTGTAGAATAATGTAATATAGTATCATACTAATATATAATATTATGTAAAATATTAATTTCGTTTTTATATATGTGGAAATATATTCCGTTTGTATGTTATTAATGTGCATTATTAAGCATTGTTGATTTATTGATAAATATATATTTTAAGTATGAGTATAAAGGATTTGTGATTATATAAACCAGCATGAATTCAGCTTAATCACTCTGAGGACTTGAAAATAGCATGATGGGGTAAAGATGAGAGAAATTAAAGTTTGCTCTCTTTGAATTTGTTGTGTTAGTTTATTATTCTGATATTATTTTTCTTTTTTTATGACTATTCTTAATATCTGTTTTCATACATTTATATTAAGCAGTATTGCCAACTGCTAATGTCATTGTAAAACAATGTTTTGGCTATAATATAATAATAGTTGTTTTTTTCCTTGATAAAATGCCCTAGTCCTCTACTACTTGAGTATTTTAACCTTGCCGTGTGATGCGCAGTTCTGCTCCACCATTAAGAGCCACTTTTAGCATCTCATGTACTATATAGCACTTGTACTCCAAGGACAGTTGGCTGACATCCTGTCAGCAAGAACAGAATAAGCACATCCACATTGTACAAGACAGCCTTGAGATTTGTGCTTCTCATATCTGTTATATTTGTGTGTGTGTGTGTGTGGCCTCGTGCAGGATTTCGGTGAGTACCAGGAGAGCTATTACTCTGTCCAGACCACAGAAGGGGAGCAGATCTCTCAACTCATTGCCGGATACATTGACATCATCCTTAAGAAAGCAAGTCACTGGCTCTTCAACACATGTGAATTAAAGGGACGGTTCACCCAAAATGTCATCAAGAGAATATTATTCAGATTTCCCATGTTTAAACTTTCGGAGTTTTCAATTTTGGGTGAACTACCACAAAATGATCCATCCTGTGGATGTTCTTTATTTTTTGTGCCAATTATTTAATTAAACGTTTTCCTCCCCTTGTTTTACAGAAACAGAGTAAAGATCGGTTTGGTTTGGATGGTGATGAGGAATCCACCATGCTAGAAGAATCCGTATCCCCAAAAAAGTCAGTGGAGCTCTCTTGTTCTTGTCCCATGATACCTTGTTTTCACGCAGGAGCCATCTTGTCACACTTATAATTGTGTTGTGCTGATATTTCTTCAAATGTCCACTTTTCAATTATCTGAAGCACAAAATCAGGGTAACACGGTTGACTGTTTTACAGTTTCATTTGATTTTGCGAGCCTTTTGCTTTGGGTCATTACACTAGGAAGAGAACATAATGCTGATATTTCTAAAACTATCGAGTTTTCAGTAATTATTTGCTTACTATACAAAATCACGGTGACAGGGTTTACTATTTTACTGTTTCATTTGACTTTACAAGCCCTTTTGCTCAAGGTTTTGAAACTACGACATGATTCTTAAAAGAATAAATTAATTCTGATATTTCTAAAAATCTCCACTTTTCCATTTAGTAGATTTTTCATTAAAGGGGTCATATGATGTTGCTAAAAAGAACATTATTTTGTGTATTTGGTGTAATGAAATGTGTTTATGCGGTTTAAGGTAAAAAAACACATTATTTTCCACATACTGTACATTATTGTTTCTCCTCTATGCTCCACCTTTCTGAAACGCATCAATTTTTACAAAGCTCATCGGTCTGAAAAGCAAGGTGTGCTGTGATTGGCCAGCTATCCAGTGCGTTATGATTGGCCGAATACCTCAAGCGTGTGACGGAAATGTTACGCCCCCTACCATATTGTGATGATGCCCTGTCAGGCCGGAGCGATGATTCAAAAATTATAAAACTGAAAAAGGATGGTGTATAAAATTGATTTTAAGATAAAAATTAGACGACAAAGAATTAACTTGACGGAGCTCAAACTCAAACCACACGGCAGCAACAAACAGGAAGTGACGTAATAGGCTGATAGGGGGCTGATATTCTTGTCAGCCCCCTTCTTGACATGTACTGTCTTTTTACGCGTTGCGTTGCATCGCGCCGCGTAAACATAAAACCATGTCTGCATTTGTGATCGGAGAAATGACAAACAACAAGCGCTACTCTACACTGCCCAAAAAAACTTGCTTTAAAAAATATCAAATATAAAAACTCTTTAAGTATAAAAAACATACTTACAATCTGTGAGTCAGAACAGCCGGCATTGTAGTCTACTCTACCAGGATCGGTAAACAGTCCTCCATAAAATGTGCTGCACACATCTGAATATTTGAGTTGAAGTGTTCTGGAACAGTGTTGTAAATACAACTTAACCACTGATTTCTAGTCGTGTC